GATGCCAGTGTCACAGTTGGCCGTCGCAGCTCTTTGTCAGCACAGCCTGCCAATAAAAGGTTGTCTTTCTGCTCTTCCTCTTTTCGTTGTCGATGGTGTCGGAAGTTAAAGTCATTAAATGCACCATCAGTTTAAGTATGGTACTGCAGGCTCTCCGGTCAACGCCATGCAAACAGACCACTGAACTCTGCCATAGGCCACCTAATCTTACAGCTATATGTTGCACTCTTTGAACTGTTTGCGTGTCTGAAAATAAGTCTGTGATCTCTAATTGAGCGAATGCCACACTTGAACATAAGGATTTTTAAGGGTTATTAATAATGCAACAAAGTATATATTTTAACAAGCATTTTTCTTTTCTCTCTATCTCTCTGTCTATTGGCCTTCTTTGTGGATCCATTGGTCTTCCGCCTTGCATTTGATATGACAGGTAAGTCTATCTTTTGTATTTTTTTTAAGCCTCTGGGCTGGATTAGCTTGTACGCATTGACTGTCACAGTGAGAATGTTTACCAAAATTGCATCTTAAGTACTTGCTGCACCAGGGATGCACTTAAGCACAATGGTTTTGTAAACAGTGAACACATTCCCTTTGCTCAGCTGACACTTGGAGAATGGGGCAATTCCATTTATGCAGCCAATCTCATTGGCTACTGGAGAGATGCCAATCTGCCCTCACAGATAGGGAAGAGAGGGGGAGCAAGGAGAGCGGTTAGAATAGCATTTATTCATCCTGACACTGATCAGATAAATGGGAAATGATAAATGCTGTCTATTTTTACTCCCCTTAACCTGTGTTAACTTTTTATTCAGAAAGAAGCTCCTACAGTCTTGCCTTGCCGTACCTTTGAAACGCTTAATCAAAGTGCTGTTTGGGATTCAGTTTTATTTGAGGTGATCTGTGAATAATGACACACGATGCAGTTGTCCTGATGACTCATTTACCATAAATGGTGATTAAGTTGAGCTGGTGTCTGTCTGCTCTGCAAAAGACTACACAGTCATCATATTAGAAGACAAAAATGCATTGTTTTGAAATCAGCTCTCAGTATGCAATGTTTATGCATTTTCATTTTGTTTGTTTGTTTGAGTTGAGCTGTTGCTGCCACATCTAACACAGTGAATGCTCATTCAAAGAAGCTTAATTTATAGGTGTCGAAGAGGCCATGAAGTCCCCCGAATGGCAATGTGACTAATATTTAAGTTGGAGGTGGTTTCTGTGGCTCCATAATGTTATTCATAAAAATCTAATAAGTTCTTTCTTAATTTAAGACCTAATAATCTTACAGTGACCTGGGTAACAGGTAGATTAATACATTTATTCTTTGTATTGATAATAATATTGACTTTTTTTCTTAAATTCCATTGACCAGCTTTGTAAATGAAGAGTTACAAAGGTATATATATATATATATATATATATATACCTATGTATGTAGTTTGATGCAATTTTGTACTTTTGCTATGTGGACAAACTAATTTACACAGTTTCCCTCTGATGCATACATCATGATGGTGTACTTCCCAAATACCTTATTTCAAATTCTATTCTATTACATTTCCTCTAGTTCAACCATTTGTAATAGCTAGAAAGTGCTATTTTGCATTTGTTCTAAGAAGATAAAGTTGTCAGAGAGAAAATAGCTTGCCCTAACCCTCAAGTATATACAATAATTACTGTTTCATTATTGAAATGATTTATTGCTTTTGCACAGAACAGCCTCCTATGCACTTTCTGTAAAGTACACATTCAGTGGCAGAAATCTCAACCATGCATTTTATTGATTTCCTTTTCCTTGTGTGGGTGCTGGAGGAAGTGTTAGACACATGTCTTTAGGCATCTAATTTAGTATGACCATTTGTAGGAGTAATGACACATGAGGAATAGAACTGGATTGAAAAAAATATATCAAAACATGCATGACCCGCATGATCCATGGTGTAGAAATTTTAGCCTAAATTATCATGGATTTTTGTTTTTGTTATGTCATCAATTTCACCAGGGTCGGTCTGTAAAGGTATGAATAACAATAAATGAATAGAAAATCCCGAGTCCAGTCCTGGATAAAGCTTTGTAGTCCCGGCACCATAATACTCTGAATATTAGGCGCTGACCCACATCTGTTCTTACCGGTTACATGGAGCCCCAGATGCAGGTCCAGCTGTTGCCATGTATTATCTCACTGACTGACCCTGATGCTTTATGTTAAATGCAAGACACAGCATTATCATGGGTTAATCCCACCTAGCAATAGCAAGAAAGTAAACTACAAAATACACTCTAATAATAATATCGATAATAATATTATTAATTATAATAATTACATTGATAATAATGACCCCCAGTCCAGTTTGTTCCTCTCCCACACTCTGACTCACTGTAATGAATATTCAGCTGCCAACCTTGCCCCCATTCTCTAACCAGTTTCACCTTCCTCAGCAGCTACCACTGCTCTACCTACAGTACCATATGTAGGTAAGAATAATGACTCCTCACTCATTATTATTAAGTCAGTGTTGCTTGAGTACGGTGCATATAAATGAAGCAGCGGGCGTAGAAAGCTATAGGCTGCCTGGAGATGTAGCCAGAGTAATGAATGTAATTATACTGACCTATTGGACCTGTGTCTGTTTTAGTAAATTCTTCTTTTTTTGACAGTTTGTTCAACACTTTTAAGAGGATGGTTTGAAAGTAAATTATACGTTTTTCCTAAGTCTAACATTCAAATCTATTATTTAAAAGAAGATATCTCTATATAATGTGTGAGTGAAATTTCTGCCCACTTTTAATTAATCGCCCGCTTAGGGAAGGAAGGTTATGTAAACACCAGGATTCTGTCTGTGGCTATCATTGAATTCAGTGCAGTAATGCCACATTTATAACAATGACAGCAGCACAATTTGGAAGGGAGAAGAGAAGGGAATTTACAACAAGGGAGAAAATGGTGTGTCAGAGGTTTTGGATTCAAAGATAATGTTGATGATGATTAGAATATTGATCCTGATATCCCACCTGTTATAAAAGAAGCAGTGGAAAGCCACCCACTCTTTGTCATTAGTCATCGCTAGCTCCTTACAGCTTACTGCAGTACATGCTGCCACCCATGATTTAGCTCTCCATCCAGTTATGAGGGGGTGTTAAGCGTTTATTATGCAGCACAGTCTTAGTCCCAATGAGATGGCAGAATGTTGCCCGATCAATACCCCTCACAGGAAGCCAGGTTAATTTATTTTTTAAGGATTTGTTTGCGTCTCTAAGGGCCCCCCCTCGCTGCAGGTTGTGATGCAAGCTATTTCCCAAAGATCTGCAGAGTGATGTTTTGTCACTGACACACACATACACCACCGCACAGGCAAAGGTACTGTACATGCAGGTACATTGGCTAAAGCCTGTATACACAATTTTTATATACTGTATTCCACTGTTGTTTTTATGTTATACATAACCAATTTTGCTGTTTTCATTCCATTTTCTGTTTGAAAAAAGACAAGCTCAAGACTCTGACAAGCCTAGTTGTGAGTGCTTGCTGATTGATAGTAGAGTTAAGTTGTGTTTATTGGAATCTCAGCTTGGAACTACTTGTACAGTTTGAGTCTGCAGGGTTTCTCCATTGTTAGTGTTTGACCTTTAGCTGTGACCCACACCTCATGTACAGAATGCCCCACTTTTTGCGCACCTCCCCCCGAATTTTCTAATTTCATTGTCGTGACCTTTACTCTTTGTGTTAGTAACTCTAACTTCACATTCATCTTTCCTTTGTGACACCTCAGAATTGCACTTGTAACAATATAGACGTTTTCTAGGTCTGTTGTGCTTATTTATAACCACACGACACAAACGTAAAAGTTTGTGCACACATACACCACATGTTCAGTTTTGTACACATATGCTACAAGACAATAGCGTCAGACCTATTAGCAAGTGTGATGTACATATAACCCCTGTATATCCCCTGGCTGGCAAACAGCTGGAGCTCTGCAAAGTACAGGAAAAATTTCACGCTCTCCTGCCCAACTGCTCTTAAAAGAAGGACAATCTCACACTTTTTTCTGACTGAACAGTGATCTGTGTAAGACAGTCAACCACTAATCATCTTCCAAATCAATTGTCTATTTGCATATAAATAAAACCTATCCTCATCCATCATTTTATGCTTGAAAATGTGAGTGAGAGATGAATACATTTGTTATCACTATGATCATTTTGGTTACCACTCATCTATATTGATTTTTACTGAGCATCATCAATCAAGGCATTTATAATGGATGCTGTCTGAGAGCACATATCTCCCCTCAGGGAATTATCACCCCAGGCTTAGGTCAAGCAGAGATTTGATCTATTGTCAGTTAGATGAATTGATGTTTTTTCTCTACATTTACGGACAAAAGGAGAGACAGAGAGAGAGAGAGAGAGTAAAGAGTAAAGGTGAGTAGGGATAGATATAAGTTTTAAGTACTTTAATGTTAGCCCTCAGGACTCAAAGCTTTTAAAATATTCAGAGCCATTCTCCATCACCTTTTGCCCTGGTTGCTTGTTCAAGAAAGGAGTGAAATGAAATCAATAGCGGTGCCAGTGCTGGCCTCTATGCCAGGCATCATCCAATATTTATACAAATGAAGCTTCACAACTTCAAATTTACCTAGCAGTTTCATGTTTAAGGGGCTGTGAAGGACTCTAAGAGGGTGAAAATTCTAGACAGGATGTGAAGATGAAAGAATAAAATAAAAATGTGTCCCCATGATGCCCTGCAGTACACACTGCAGTCATTTGCATTTACATGATATGGCAGGTTCTGATTAACAGTTATGTTGAGTCTTAAAGTGGGACACCCTTGGTTCCATAAACAAGAAATGGATCATAAATCCCACAACGCAACTTTCAGCCATTATCACTCCCCAAAACGCGTCCCCTAACAAAGTTTAGTGCTTTTGTTACTTGAGCACTACATGCAATGCATGCAGACTATTAATTTAGTAGTTCACCACAGTTAATCACCCTGTTAATAGCCAAAAAACATGAAAGTACATTGTGGGTATATTGCTCACTCTGCACCTTTATTTTTCATCCTGCATGGGCCACTTCCTTAGACATTGGTTTGATGTTAATGACTGATACAGGGTCCTATTACTGTCACAGACCACTGAGGTCAGTTTCAGATGAAAACTCATGATTCAGCGCCATTTGGCATGAATATGTGTGAAGACAAACTTCCCTTAATACAACTGCGAGCAGAAACTCACATACAAATACAGACACATTATAGTTTTGAAAACTGACTGATGGATTCCATATTGAAGAAAACCTTTTTAAATTAGTGTTTAAAATGATATTAATTCCATGTATTTATATTGCAACATGAAATGCATGTTTACAGCCACTTTCATTTATTGAGGAATGGAATAAGAAAATAGTTTCAATTTAGTGCACTCAAGTGCGAAATACTAAATTCCCAGCATATCCTTCATGTTAATAAGGATGATTAGTTTGTGATGGGATTTTACCTGAGAGAAATCCTATGAGCTGTAGGAGGAAAAGTAGTTAATTTGATATGTATATCCCATGGCTCACATTGACAGTCCCCCCCAGGATTTGAGGATCTAGTGATTACAAGAATTAACACAAATTTAATCAATCATTTTCGAGAGTTTGCAATCCCTGCAATATACTGTAAAATACTGTAAAAACCACTACCATTTTCAGCTAAAAATATTTCATTTCAGAGCCACTGGTAATGAGCCTTGGTCAAATAAAATAAATCGTCAGCCCCAGCAAAACTATTTTTTCAGACACTATTCTTATTTCCTGAGGTACCTTTGCACTTCTTCTCAGGCAGGGATTACTCTCAGGCTCTATATCACCCACAACAAGATCCACCAATTTAAATCTCACCAAACCATTTCTAACACTTTAAGAACCAAGTCCGACCTGTTTTTCAGACCCCTTGTTGCATATTGTTCACTAGAACACCAGAACACCAAGTGCACTTACAATGTTGTTGATAAATTTGAAGATAACTTTTACTCGTATTGGAACTAATTATGTAATGATCGTCAGTGAGTTCTTAAAACATTTTTATTCCTGCTGACTTACAAGTTGTAAACATTATCTTAATTTATCGCAAAATAACACAAAAATGATGCAAGTTGATGCATTGATTTTTTTCCAGAAAAGCGCTGCAGATTCAGTATATTGATGTTGCACCTGCTGTGGAAGTTTGCAGCGTATGGTGCACAATGGGTAAAATGCAGCCACAGTATGAGAATATGCACACTAGAGAGCAGTCTGTTCCCTCTTTCTGCAGTCGTTGTGATCCTCCATCTCCCTCTCACTGCTCCCCCTCCTCAAACAACATACTTTTCACGTCAATGGACCCAAGAAATACAACATCTGTCAGTGCACTAATTTACACAATGAACACCAGAGGAAGAAGGATATATATATACACCTCAAAATGGCCTTGTATTCAACAAACATTTTACATTACATGAAAACACAGTGAAGAATATTGTATGTGCAAATCTTCCTTTAAGCTGCTGGATAATTTCTTCAATGATTCTGATACAATCTGAAATTGTATTTTGATTTAAGTATGCAAGGTTTCAATGAAGGTTGTCTTTAGTGTGCTTGATTCAGTGAAAGTGAAAGCCAAAGAGTGAGAGGCAATGAGAGGCATAGCTTTAAAATCTTTGACACTCTGCTTTCTTTACTTGGATGGTACACAAATAGTGATATAATTATATGAAAAAATGCTAACCAATTTAAATGTAATAGATCATTCAAATCTATTCTCAAATAGGCAATGGGAAGGGGAAAAGAAACTACACTCATAGCGAGCCAACACAGTGAATGATAAAACAACAAATATGAGAGTTAAAACAGAGAAGAGATCTAAAATTCAGACCATGGATTTTACATTAGAGATGAGATGCAGATATCCCTCTGCCCCTTTTAATTTTTTTGTATTTCATTTTATTTTTTTGGTTGGATACACTGCAGAGACATGGCTCTCCAGTCCACAAGCGCAAAGACTGCGTCTATTGTCATTCATCCTTTCTGACAGCTTCTCACGTACAAATGAGTTCACTGTGAATAGCAATTCATTTATTTAAACATTTTTTGTAGTTTACAAAAGAAATAGATTATCTTGTATCATTTTTTGTCCACATTTGCACTTATTCTTTTGACATATTTTACACAGACTTTTATTTTTACATTTTCATCGAACTTAAACATGATTTTTTAATATTTTAAATGCTTTTCAAATATTGTGTTTACCATAATACAAATGGTTTGTTTTTTTTTTGTTTCCTTTTTCTTCTTTTGTGTGTCCCCAGTTTGTTTTTAAACAATAATTAAATGTCCTGAAGTAGAAAGACACATTAAAGCTCAAATATCCACCCATGAGAGAAAAACCTCAGTGCCCACAATGTATTCCTTTATGTGTTTCTGTAGAACATCAACAGGTCCAAGAGTCAGGGGCCCATTGTGCCCTGTGGTCTCAAATCAGAAGAAGACAGCAGTAGCCGTAAATCCACTGGTAAATAGTCAGCTGCATAAAGCACACTCCTTCCACATCACAGTGAGACGTTGTGTAAAAAGTGTCCAAAAGATCCCTTTATTCCTTCTGTCCCGCAATATTCCCCTCCCCAGTGTATCCAAAAGACGGATTTACTGTATATCCATATAATCACAGGTAAAGACGTACTCACGAAGCAGGGTCACACCTCACATTCCCGAGAAGGTTGCTGTTGGCAAGTGCAAGAGCCATATTCATTGATGATTACCAGAGCTCCCTCAATGTGGTTAGGTTTATAGTCAACGTAGTACTCCGGTGTAGAAATTGCAGCCATCTGCTGCATGCTTTGCTTTTGCTTCTGCTTACGGCGCTGACTGCTAAAGCACTGCCTCAGTTGTCTTATGCCGGCTGGAAAGCACTTCCATGCCACATACAGCATGAGCACTATGATGAGAAAGGAAAAGATGAGTGCCATGGTGCCAGTCACCACCTTGTGGATCTGCATGGTGCTCTCCAGGTCATCATGGCCTACTGTGACAGTGAAAGAACTGGTGACCACCTCACTACCCTCACCCTCATAAGGGTTGGGAGTAAACGGGCCCAGGAAAACAGAGCCACCCTGGGCCAGATCCCTTGTAGAGGCGTACAGGCCTGCTGTAGTTACCTCCATTGGGGGATCCTCACATAGCTGAAAAGCATAGACAGCATCCAACACATCCTCGCCCTGTGCGGTGTCGGGGCTTGAACACAGCAGGGAATTGTCACGCTGGCCTCGGAAGGCACTCAGCCAAGAGGCCAAGGCACACACATTGCGACTGCACTCCCAGTCATTCTCTGCCAGGGTAATGCTTTCCAGAGATGACCAGGAATCCAGGATGTGCTGCTCCACAGAGGTCAACCGATTGGAGTCTAGCATCAACACCTTAAGGTTGGGTGCACTCTTAAAAACATGTGGCTCAATGTACTCGATTTCATTGGCTGAAAGGTCAATCTTCTCTAAATCGTTCCATGTCCAGTCCAGTGTATTGACAACAATAGTGGCACGATTGTTGTGCATGTACAGGGTACGTAAAGACATGAGGCGAGGGAAGTGGGCTAGGTTGACTTTAACTAGCTCATTGTGCTCAAGATGCAACTCAGTCAACTTGAAGAGGCCAGCGAAGGAGTTTCGTGCCAGGCTCTGCAGTTGGTTGTATCCCAAGTCCAGAAACTGCATGCTCCGGCAGTCTTGAAAAATCCGCACTGGCACAAATTTGAGAGCATTGTAGCGCAAATGCAAATTGGTGAGCTTTCTAAGGCCGTGGAACAGGTCAGGCTCCAGTGCCTGCAGCCTGTTGTATGAAAGGTCCAGGATACGCAGGTTTGGGAGGGGCCTAAAGGTACCATTTGGGAGACTCTCAATCCGGTTGTAACTGAGGTCCAACTCCTTGACCCGTCTTAGCCTGTCAAATGCACCCTCCTCCACAATGTCAATGTTGTTGTGATCTAGATAGAGCCAGGTGAGCTGTGACAGACCAGCCAGTTGGCCTTCACGCAGCTCGGTCAAGTTGTTTTCTCTCATGGACAGGCCCATGGCGCTGCTCAAATTGCGGGGAATGTCTGTGAGGTTGAGCCCCTCGCAGTACAGCAGCTTGCTGTCGCAGCGGCACAGCCTTGGACAAACCCCCTCTACCAAGGGAACCGTTCTTAGAAAAATGCCCAATAAACACAGTATCAACCCAGGGGGCTTCTTCAGTGGCCACTTTAGGTACAGTCCAATTAGAAGGAAATCCATTAGCATAAATATCCAGGGATGCCACTGAGAAAATGTCCATTGAACCACTCTGGATATTATTTTTGCACTTATCACATCATATTTATTACATCATATTTAATTAATTTAATAATCTGTTTTGCACCGTTTTTGTATTTTAGCTGTAGACAGTGATTATATTTTGTCAACGGAAGGAGTCCTTGTCGAAAATGCAAAGGATAAAGGACAAGTCTCTTTGCTTATGTTAGATATCAAGCAGTGGGTGGAGAGTAGAGGGGATGAAAAAAATTTGTCCTTATTGATCGATCTTATTTGAAAAGATTCCTACTCACCCCTATCCAAAAGCTGACAATCTCCATTCAGCGTCTCGCTTTGTGCCCCAACACTAATTATGTGCGAATCTAAAAAAGACCCCACTGTGGTACAAATTCTCCCCCCCTCCCTTCTCCCTTTTCAGTGGACACCAGATCCTTGGCAGGCTTACAATGTCTTAGTTCTCCTCAAGTGAAAGAGCCAGAAAGAGAAGGAATCCAAGTAGCTTTCAGCGAGATGGTAGGAAGTGCAAGTTCCCCTGTCTGCATGCATGAGCTCTGTCTCTTTCGCTCCTCCGCAGTCCTCTGCTGCAATGATCAGAGGGGAGAAGAGACAACCAGAGAAAGAAAAAAAAGACCAAGAAAAAAATCTTTTTAAATATCTGTCTTGCTCTTTTCTCCTCCCCTTCCTGCTTAAGTTTCAGCAGATCTGTCAACACATATTATCGTCCATCTCTGGAAGCAATCACTGACTTGTAAGGTTTAAATCCATTCAAGCGGGTAATCATGCTTTCAGTGACGGATGGTAGGGGGAAAAAAAGGGTTTAAAGAAGTGAACCCTGTTCACTGTTTTCTTGTGTAACAGTATTCCTTGTCATCTCAGTGGCTCATCTCGGTTAAGAAGCCGCTTGCATCCCCGGTGGTTTGCAGTTTTCGTTCACTCCCTTGCTCTCCCGGTGTTTTCTAAGCCAGATGGAAGAGGCTGCTGAAGGCTGGTGCTGGTAGGCAGGCAGGGGCGGTAAATGTGGGAAGCAAAGGAGCGCGCAATCCCTTGCAGCAGAGCAGTACACTGACAGCGCATGCAGAAGCACCTTCTGTTCACTGAGTGTCGTAAGCCACTCACAATTCAGAGTGCTCGCTCTCTTTCCCTCACCCTATTGCTCTCTTTCCCTTGATCGCTCACTCACTTTTTCATGCTGCTCCCCTCCTCTTCCTCTCTCCCCTCTTCCCTCCTCGCTTTTCTCTTGCTGTGTTTTTCTCTTTGCCTGAGACATTTACATATTCAGAATGGGCCGGGCTTAAACCAGGAGCTTTAATGAATCCCCCCC